TACCCGAAATGGGCAAGGGTTCTGCCAACTGAATCCATACATCCCCTGCTTTCAAGAGCCTTAATATTAGGATCCCTATTATAATCCCTACCAAGGGGAGGGGGTTTGTTGTTCGGGGGTCTGCGTTAGTGTCCAATTCCTAAACCCTAAACCCTAAACCCCAAACTTTGTGAGGCGAACATCTATTCAAAGCAAAGCAGCCAGCCTCCGAATCTTGGCCCTGTCGAGCATCCAAGGGCCTAAGGTCCGCAACAAGGGACTCGTCAAAACGAGGGTCTCCAGATATGGTAGTTTCTCTAGATAAGGGGACCCCCAATATAGACCCCAATATAATATATTCCTTACCCCAATATAGACCCCAATATAATATATTCCTTATTATGGGGATCCCCAATATGGTACCCCCAATTTTTGGAAACCCCTAGGTGAGTGCTGTCAAAGTCAGGTTTCTTCCTTGGGTACGCTCTAAAATCCTAAACCCTAAAACCCGAAACCCTAACACCTAAACCCTAACACCTAAACCCTAAAACCCAAACCCTGAAACCCTAAACCCTAAACTGCATTTTCCTTTACAATTCCCTGCCTGCCTTGTCTCCACATATTGCAATTTGCGCTAAACACATTTACAGTTGCCAAGGCTCGATGCGCGAAGAAGTTGTTATAACACTGAGCCCATGACATCCTTACGAAACACTGCTGCTACACCTCGGATTTCCTGAGGATGGATCCGTTTCCTGAAGGGTTCCCACTCGGTTTCTGAAACCTTGACAAATCAACGATTAATACTTACCCGGGTTGTGATAAGCAGTTTTTGTTTTTTTGTACATAACGGCTTGGTTGTGGAAAGGGGCGTCTGGGCGTAGCACAGACAAGTCGCACCCCGCCCCAGCTCCCCCCGACTCTGACTTTCCATGTTGTTTGCACTTTGCTCAACTATTGAACCATGCCGCGGCTGCTCATCCTAAAACTGTTCTTGCCGCTGCCTTTGGAGGGACTGCATCTCACTGCGAGAGTAGGAATACTAAATAGACCAAAACAGCATGAACTTGACCTCAGGCTTCGGCAAGATCTTTCCAAAGCCTTTGTCCTTGTCGAACCACCTTCGAAGTAGATCTTTGCGGCTATCAGACACAAGGAATGGCAAACCCCGCCTGACTCTGCCCTCCAGGCGCTTCTTGGACTGGAACTGGAGATTCAGGACAGCCCTGGGACCAGAAACCGACCTCTTAAACTGTGATATCTATTCGCTTATGACTAGTATTATTAATACTACTACTATTACAATTATTATTACTACTACAAATAAAAGCATTATTGCAATCATTCTTACACTATAGACTAATTACAATTATTACTGCTATTGCTCTGAAGGGAGCTGGGCTCGGTGCTTCAGGTCCGGCGCACGGACTGTTCGGGCCATCCTTGCATTCGGCAACAAGGCAAAGGCACCCAGCCAAAATAAAGCAAGCACGAGCGTCGTGAATGGCACAAGCGAACATGCATGTGTTTGGCAATGCATGCTGCAGGGAGAGTCATCTAAGCAGGGCTCCACTTCCACCCAAGCTTCGTCATCCGTGCACGTGAAGCGTTGTATGTAAGCTGTGGGCCAGACACTGCCCAAGAAACGCCTTGGCTCTTGAGACCTGCCCATTTGTACACACCTCGATTGCGCTGCTTTTTGAAGAAGCGCTGCACGGCATCATGGACACCGGGGCAGGACATTTGCCGATAGGCATGCACATAGATCTCCCCATGGGCACTGAGCCTGCTGTAAGCCATTCTGAGAGGCAGAATTGTCCCTGCATAGCTGTCAGAGTCCACAAGCGCAAAGGCAACTTTCTCAGGCAGGGCGGTCTGAGGTACCTGCACCATGTAGCTTTGGTGAACCTCTGGAACCCTTGCACCCTGACTCCAGAGGAAGAAGTTGAAAAGCCACCGTCTTGACTTGAGCAACCCTTGTGCGACTCTGCCTGGCCAACTTTGCCACAGGTTGGTACAAGGCCTGTCTCTGCAAATCACCCGATCACGCTTGGGAAACCCGGGCCCCTCAAACGGGTCATAGACATGGTGCGCCCTCCTGGGTTCGCCACTGACCTGTGAGTAAACGTCTAGAAAGCGGCTGACCCACAAAGTTGTCTCTCCGGCCCCGACACCAAACTCCAGCACAGCCCCATCTTGACTCATCGCCAGGCTGCGCTCGAGGCCAGTAAGGAGGAGCTCAGCCTCCCTCTGCGTGACCCCCTCCCACTGGTGTCCGCAAAAAGTCCGAAGGGTCTCAGCCACCATAGGAGACACCTCCAAGGAGGGCGTGTTTGTACAGCTGAGCGGCTGCACGAAAGGGCCAGGCACGAGAGCCAACCAAACCACACCGAAGTAGAAGCACAAGGCTAAAGCCAACAGAAGCGCAGAGAGCATCAGCATTTCAAGGGCGGGCTCTTGCCTGAGCCCGTTCACATCTTCCTTCAGCTGCAGGGCGGTCCCGCCGAGGGTAACGCGCGGAAGTGCGGTCGGGGCCGGCTCCTCCTGCGACGGGGCCGTCGGCCACGCCATCCGAATGAGCTTGCCTCAGGCCGTTTGCAGCGCACAGCGAACCAAACTTTGTGTAACAACCTCTGGGACTCTGGGCTGGCATATCATGCGCATGCTGGTCAGAACAATTTCTTCCGAGGCACTGCCCACTCTGAAAACCAGCACAACATTCAGGAGCAGCAGCAGGATGGGAATGAGCACGACCACGGCTGCGATTGCCAATGCCTTTGGTCGGCCCTCCCGCTGCAGGGCCAACACGTAGTTGTGTGCTCGTGTTTGCGTGCTCTCCAAGTAGCTTCTCCTGAGATCTAGCAGCAAGACTTGAGAGATGAACACTCAACTCTGAAAATGCAGAAGCCGTCCTGGCCGCAGCCTCCTGGTCCACAAGCTGCGCAAACTGCCCGTCTGAACGTAAGAGCTGGCCCTGCACATCGCAGTGAATAACAACTCCCCCCTAAAATGATCATATCAGATGACTTGTTGACCCTGCCTGCGGGGTCACGGAGATGGTGGCCTGGGCACAGCAACCAGCAAAGACCTTCAGCAACAACCCGTCCTTCACCTACAAGAATGGCCGAGTGACGCAATGGCTTCCTTGAACGTCTAATGCCAGGATGATGAAAGCAGCCACCTTCAACATGGACTCCAACCTTGACAGCAATACGGGAGATTGAACTTGTGATGGGGTTGTGCTGGGCTTTGAGTCAAGAAATTGGTCTCCAAGCCAAAGTGGGGTCAGCATAAGCTCCAGGCAAGATATGGAAGAACTACCGCACCCGGGGCTTTCCAGATGCGAAAAAGGCCTGCTTGCCAGCTACCCTTGAGGCGAAATTGCCTGCGAGTGGTCACCAACAATTGCAAGTCACAGGCTTGTGGGATAATTGAAAACTTGTATATAAGTACTATTCAAACCATTATAATCCAATAATGGAGAATCAAATGGATAATAAAATTGAAACTGGGGGTATCTCCCCGTGCCCTGCGACAAAACTTTGTATAAACCTTAAACCCTAAATTGTAGTTTCCATTTTTCCATTATCCCTATATATAACTCCCTAATACCCACTATATAATCCCTAGAATCCCTGTAGTTTCCATTTCATTTTCCATTCTCCCCATATAACCCAAATCCTAAACCCTAAACGCTATGTAACCCCAATACAGTAGTTTCCATTGTCTTTTCCATTATCCCAATTTAACCTCTACACAACCCCAATATAATCAAGCATATAACCAGAATATACTATAGGATACCCCATAATTTACCCATAATATACCCTGTATAACCCCAATCGACTGTAGTAGTCTCCATTTTCTTTTCCATTATCCCTATATAGCCCCAAAATACCCCCAATATATACCTTATCATGTTATTTTCCATTCTGCCTATATAACCCTAAACCCTGAATAGTAGTTTCCATCTTTCCATTATCCCAATATAGCCCTAAACCCTAAACAATATATAACCCTTGGGTACTGCCCCCCCTCACTAACAGTTGGATAATAATTATAATATGGTTATATATAGCCCCTACACCCTAAACCCTAAACCCTAAACCCCAAGGGGGCAGTGCCCAATATAACCCCATTGTAGTAGTCCCTATATAACCCCTGTATTGCATAAGGCTTCGGCGACGGCGTCGGTCCTGAGTCTGCCTTGCTTGCTGTCACAATGACGCTCAGAAGTGTGTCCTATCAGGATGACCAAAATGTACTATAATAGACTATAATATACTATATTGTAATATAACATACTATAATATAACATGCGATAATGTAATATATTATTCATGTAATATTAATATGTTTTAATATACTATAACATAATATAATATACCATACTGTAATACAATATAACATACTATAACATAATATACTATAATGCAATGAACTATGATATACAACAATATGATATGTTGTAATCTACTATGATATACAGGGTCGATGGCTGGCTTTCCTGTGAATGCCCCTCATATCCCACCACTTGTGGCACTGAGAAGCCGGCCTTCTGAGACACTTCCCCACGGCTCTGTTGGCCATGGGCTTTATGCTTCACATGTTCTTTGCATGAGTTGTACTGGGGCAGAGCTGCCTTCCTGGACTGGGGTCATACCATATCAGGTGCCAGGGTCTACCAGGATATTATGGCATATTACAGTGAAGTATAGTGTGTGTGTATATGTACATGTAGCATATTACGCTATATCATAGTATTCTTGGGCATCCCCGGATGTTCATGGCTTCCGGGTTATTCATCGCATAAGGCAGAAGTACGTGGTGCTAGCAGAAGTGGGGACGAGGGCGAATAGCAAAGAGCAACCACGAAACTCTGAAGGGGGCTACGGTATTCGGGCAGTGTCCAAAAGTAGGATCTCGTTGCTACCCCTAAATTCCCGATGCCACCCTACAAGGCATAACCACGACTTCTCATAATTCTGCAAACAGTTATTATCAAGGGACACCTAGAATTATGTAGGGTTGCGCATGCATAACGGAGAAGAAAACGGAAACCCTTAATAAAATCAATTTGGGGGTTTCGGGTTTCACTCGCTGCTGCTGCCGCTGCTGCTTGAGCCTGGCCTGGGAAACGTCACTGCGACAGCTGAGGAAGCCCTCGACGAGCTGACCACCATGATAACTCAATGTGCAGCTGGGAAATGGGGATTGGGATTGATGGAAAAACGGACACTACAATTTTGCCACTTGCATGGCTGAGGCAGCCTGCATGGCAAAGTTCGAAACTACAATTTGGGGTCTAGGCTTCCCGAAATTGGACTGCAAAGTTTGGGGGTTGTAACGCGCGCCTGCACATGAAACAATGATGGCTGAATCCAAAAGCCAGCCACTGCAAACACACAGTAAGCATTGAAGTAAACATGCCAAGGCATCATGCGCTTTCTCGAAGGCTGTGGGGACCTCGAAGGCAAGAGGGTAGATTGTGCAAAAACCTCCTTATGCAGAGTTTTGTCTCTGAGTGCACCGCCCGCGCTCGGGCTTTGCCTGGCATGAGTATACTGCTCGCATTGACTGTAAAGCATGTATACATATGCCCCACTACTTACGCGTTTCTCTGAAAAATGACCACATTCTTCACCAACCACAAATTCAGTTTCCCGCGCGGCTTGAGAAAGAACTGGGCTGGGTGACGCAGCGTGGGAGCACTGACGCTATCAGTCCCATCATCATCGCCATCGGACCTTGCTACATATTATAGCGAACACTTGCTGGCACCAGCTTCAACTAAGCTCGCCGTCCAAGGTGAGACGCGGACTCTGACACTTCATCCACGAATCGCACATGGCTGTGCCCATCCTCGTCTTCATCGTCCTGGCCCGAGTCCTCACACAAACGAATATGTGGAATGCAGTCGAAATCAAAGAAGCAAATGCAAGCAGCAGAAATGAATGATGTAGAAGCCTTCATGTCCACGAACTTGGTCGGCACGCGCTTCCGAACCGTCGCGTGTATCTGCACAATTGCAATCCCGGAAAGGCGCCAGAAAGCCACAGGAAATCCAACAACGGTCTACATTTCACATGCTAAAAACAGGCCTGACCGGACTCAGCATCTTCGTGCGTCTCGTTCACGCTGTCATTCCCACGGAAACGAACCTCCAAGCGTGCAGGAAAACAACCGTTTGAGTGAGGCGGGATGGATCTGTCAAACACCCTGCTTTTGGATTGAGTTGACTACACATTCCCCTCAGTGGAAATCAAACGAAGGAAGTTGTCTCTGCCAGGATCCTTCATGGCCTCCCGTTTCGGGGAGTCGTCCTCGTCATCATCCTGGGCCTGGGGTGAGCAACTTCAAGCACGCCGCTATTCGATTACGCAAGATGTTGGGCTTCATGTCTTGAATCCGGACTGGGTGGTCGGACTGAATCTGTTGCCGGAAAAACCTTTTAGTCTTTGCCCAGTCTCTACAACCACAACCAGTACAACTGCTTCGGCTCGAAGAACACGTCCCTTCTCAGCCCACATCAGGGTCCCAGGGCAGGCTCATCTAAGCTTTGCGCCAGCGGCAGCTTTGGAACGAAGGCTGTTCCCTGCCGCTTCTTCGGAGAGCGCTTCAGAGCCTATCAGAACCCATGCAAAGATCATTGGGGACTGTTACTAGTTACAGCAAGTGGCACAAAGGATGGGAAAGCAACGCCTTCCCCGAGAGGAGTTACTGCACCGTAACGGTTAGCCATGGCTCCATGGTTGCCGTGACCGTCACGACTCCATCAGTGCCACAGCCGCCGCCACTTCCACCACAACAACTAGAACTAGCATGATATACCATAATATACCAGAATCTACTACAATATACTATAATGTACCATAATATAACTAGAATATACTATCACATACTATAACATACCACAAACTAATGTACTATAATATACTATAATGTACCACAATGTAACCTAATGTACCATAATGTACTGAGATGCTGACTTGCTCATCCTGTCCCTGCTCTTCCTGCTCTGCCGCAAAGCTCACCTGAGAATGCAAAATATTCAGACATGGTAGTTTCCCAAAGTAGGTGGGCTTAGGGTTTAGAACCCGATATAGGATTATACGATAGTTTCCAAAAATAGGGTGCTTTGTTGGGATAATTGGGATAATGGAAAACAAAATTGACACTACTATTTAGGGTTTAAAATCCCCACCCTAGTATTATGGTAGTTTCCCAAAATAGGGGGACCCCAATACAGGCCCCTACGTACTGTAGTCCTTATTATAGAGACCCCCAAAAAGAGATGCCTAATTTAGGAAACCCCAAATTCTTCTTACAGGAACTATGGCGCTCGGCAGGAGTGGGGTTGACTAGTGGACCATACTACAAGGCCCCAGAAGTGAGTGGTGTTTTTCTTGCTGTTTGAACCCAGCAAGATAATATTCCTTATATAAAATACTATACCCAAAAGGAGGATATATTCTTTATCTACATTGGGTACCATAGTATCCCCAAATAAAATACTACTCAAGTTGGCATTATCAAACCACTGCTCTTCTCGAAGCTGGGCTCCTAGGCACTTGGTGACAAAAACTCTGCCCCATTTCGCCGAAACTAAGAGGTAGGAACTTCCTGCAAAATCAAATCCCAAAAGCAGGTGACCCATGTTTTTTAATTCATGGTCCTGGAGATGGAAAACCCAATATATGGGTGGTGGTCAAAATTATGGTCCCTTTTTGGATCCCCATTATAATACGGACCCTAATATTTAGGATACCTAGAAAGGGACCATAATTTGGACAACCACCCATATACACTCGCCATCACTCGCCTCTTTTCATATGGCACCCTCTATACACTCACCGAAACCTGCATTCCGAGCCTGCCAAATTCTTATCCCCGTCAAGCCCACAGTTTCGCAGCGTCTCAGACCATGTTCCCTACAGAGGACCTGAGACTCCAGCTCCTGATGCTTTTGCCTTTGGCACGAAGGCTGTAGCCTTACGGCCGTGAGCCGACCGCTTTGGCGCGTCTCCTAAGAACACACGGACGCGCGGCTCATGAAAGCGTGACAAAGTCGCGTGAAGCTTGTTGCTGGACCTCAGATCAAGGGCTCAAGGGCTTGCAAGAACCCGAAGATTGATATCCCCAAATCAGGGCCGGCCAAGTCAAGTCCTTCTTCGTGCCCTTCTACCTCAACCTCTTCGGCGTCGTCATGAAAGCTTACCTGGGCACAGAGCTCCAGGCAGAGTCCCGCGCATGTTACTACAGGGCGATAAGAACAATGACAACAGTCCACCTGTGAAGGGGGCTTGGGCTGAAGGCTGAAGTGGTACCCCAGAAGAATACCTGATGACCCCGCAATTCGAAAATGCTTAGGCAGCTGCGCCAGGTGATGCGCGCGACTTTGGGACAAAGGCTGTGGCTTTGCGGCCATGTGCGGACCGCTTTGGTCCATCCTCCTCCTCTTCTCCATCTACTTCTTCCGCAGCATCATCGAAGGCAACCTGTGCCGGGCCACTGGAAAAACCCTTGAACCACCCTGGGCCCGTGACCTCTCGCCATCCCAGCCTGCCCGGTTGACACTTTGGCCTTCTTGACGAAAGCTGTCGGCTGGCGTCCATGGACAGATCGCTTTGGCGTTTGGTCCACCTCCACCTTACTCATCTGGGTTGCTGTTAAGGTTACCATAATGGGTGTATATAATGAATAATAGGGTTTCCCCAATATAGTAACTTAATTTAAGTTCCTTAACAGCAACCCACTTATGCTGAAGGAGGAGTGGGGCGAACGAATATGATCAAGCAAGCCACCTCATCAACGTCATCGTCATCATCATCGAATTCCACCTGGGCTCAGCCGGGCTGGGCTACACAACTGGGTTGATGTTCAAGGCACTTAAATGAAGTTACCATAATGGGTACATATAGTAACTGATTCATATGGTTTCCCCAATGTAGTAACTTGAATCAAGTTCCTTAACAGCAACCCAGATTACAGAGGCAGAGCTCTCGAGGTGGGGTTTCGCTCGGCTCCCCGCTGAAGCCATGGGCTTGCCTTTTGGCACGAAAGCCGTCGGCTTCCGCCCGTGGACGTTTCTTTTTGGTGCGCCGTCATCCTCACCATCCTCATCATCCATCTCTTCCACGTCGTTTTCGAAGTTGACCTCTCCAGCTAAGGATGGTTCTGCCAATCACAGGCAAATTCTTGTCATAGATCTGCTACAGGGAGCCTACTTGGCTAGGTAGTACGGATTAGTACAGCCGGTACATTTGCCAACTGAGGCTAGGGCGCCACTGCTGGCTTTTGCCTTTGGCACAAATGCAGTAGCCTGGCGCCCATGCACCTTCCTTTTCGGAGTCTTGTCTACCTCGACTTCTTCGACATCCTCGGCATCATCTTCAAATTCTACCTCAGCCAGACTTCAGGTGAGAGTCACCTGCCTATAAAGCCTGTCATGCCTTGCAAACGAAAATTCCAAGAGCCCTTGCTGGTGGTAAGCAGCGGAGGACCGGCCATCATAGTCCCTATATCATCCCTTGAAGGGCCTCATGTCCCTTTCCTTTGCTCCTTACTACTTCACCAGTGGGAAGCACGTCTCAGCTTCCGACGCTTGCGGCTGTCCGCTTTGGCACGAAGGCCGTGGCCTTGCGTGAGTGCACGGGTCGCTTTGGCCCGCTTCCGTCCTCCAGGGATACTTCTGGGGGGGGTCCTTAAACGGATAATAGTACTTTGGGGTCCATATTGCGATCCCCCCCCCCTTTCACGGAAACTAGCATGTGAATCTGGCAAATTACACAACATGGACATAATCGCATTACTAGCAGTATTGCGATGTGTGAGCATGTTGGCAGCATAGCAGGTTCATCCGCAGGTTCATCGTAGTAAGGTCAGAAGGTTTGCCATTGCTTGCATTCCTCAACACTTTGTACAGAGCTCCAGCCACTGCTTGCACAAGGGTAGCGGGAGAGCCGAGGGACTATTCTCATGTCTGACACGCAAAGGCGTATCCGCGGCTGAATGCCTTCCTTCCTTGCTAGGCACTGTTGTCAGGTCCTCCTCTACATCAAGCTCTTCCGCATCATCGTCGAATTCGACCTGGTGCTGCTGCCAGCCGCCCCAGCTCCCAACAGCAATGCAACAGCTTTCTCGCGCAAGGCAAGGCAGTGCAACTAGCAGGACGGCTTGCCGAAACAAACATTCAGCGCGCAGGGGTATGCATGCTGAGTGCCAGACGTCCGCGGCCTTCTTTGGAGCAAATGCTGTAGCCTGCCGGCCGTGCACCTTTCGCTTGGGCGTCTGATCGACCTCGACCTCCTCAACATCTTCTTCGCCTTCAAAGCCGACCTAAGTGCGTCATAATAGCAATGCCAAGAGGTGTGAGCTACATGATACTTTAGTATTTAGGTTTTCTTGCGCCCGCTCTGGCACCCTCTCTTGGGGCGTCTTGCAAAGCATGTGTGGCTGCGAAGTCAGTACTCTAATGCCCAAGGCAGAAGTGATGATCTTAGTAACGGATTGCACGAGGGAATTCTTAATTGAAGCAGTTCTACTCGAAAACAACGCCCAACACAGCCACCACCATCTTAATTCACGACAATAATTGTAGCAGTGGACAACGCTGAGATCCAACCTTCCTGACATTTTTTCCCTTTCCAATTCTTTCAGAAACGCTTTCCAACTGCAGGTCCGCAACGTAACCACTGCCTTGACGTGGTGGAGACCACAGCCAGCGCACATGCGTCGATACGTTCAAGCACAACCCTGGATACACCATTGTTTAAATCCTACCCCAAATTTTGGAAAAAGAAACCATGCCTCTGGTAGCAAATGCTCTGCCATACATATATGGTCAATTGTCCTGCGGTTCGTTGGGGGTTCGTTTAGAGACCCACTTCCCCACTTCTGTGAGCCCGCAACCACCCCAATGCCCCGGCCCCCTGAGCGTGCGCCGGCGCTGGGGCAAAGGCGGTGGGCTTTCGGGACTTGACTTTTCCTTAGCCATGCATGGTGGCTTCATCATCCAAAGCATGGTGGCAGGGGGAGGACTCCTAAGTGGCGGAGGTGGGGGTGGAGGTGCAGGTGGAGGCGAAACTGGGGCAGCGGTGGAAGTGAACCCGGTAGCTAGTGGAGTCGTCGTGGTGGCGGTGGAGCGACAGTGGCAGCTGTCGGGGCCTGCGGCCACTTCAGGACTGCTTTGGCGGATGCTGCCTGAACTGTCCCATCTGCCAAAAAATGTATCCATCGCATAGTCTGTGTGCCAGAAGACCTTGGGCACTGGCATGCACCTACACGCAATTACACGCACCTGTTGCTCTCCTGTCGCAGAGGATTGCCTGCACCCCTTCATACGGCAGGCATCAACCGAACCTTATGAGACCACAAGGGCCTAGGTTGAGCTGTCTCGCCCCGACATGCGCCCACAAGGATGGTACTGCAACCACTGCTCAGCTACTCTTTTCAAGGGTTCAGAATGCGTTGCTTCGGGACTAAGATCGAACTTCCCGAGCTGTGGCTGCTGCAACCAAATTTCAGCAGCCCCCACCCTTCTCAGCCGAGCCACGCTGCGCTTGGCCGTCTCCTGATGAGGGAGCCGAGTTGGGGCCCCAGAGAGTTTTAGAATGATCCAGATGGGCTTCAATTGGACATCGAGCTAGCATGAAGACTCATTGCTTGCCCTCGCCTTGCGAAACGCCGTTCGAAAGATTTCCGAGGCCTCGCCCATCGATCTCGACGACCTCACGCCACCATGTGCACAATCTCTGAAAAAGTAAGACGGCATCTGCTGGCAACAGTAACAGAAAATGATGTAGTTCCGCGCAAATGGGAAGGATCTGACTACTCAGATCTTATCCTTCAATCCCCTGTCCTACCCTTTTCCGAAACTTCATCCTTCAACCATGGCAATGGCTTGAGACAGAAAGGCTCCTACGCTTTGCGTAGCTCCGCTGATGATGATCATCTCAACCCTGTCCTAAACCCTATAAGCCCTACACCCTCTACCCTAAGCTCTGAACCCTGGGGTAATATCCCCCTGCAACTCTAAACCTGAAACCCTAAACCCAATGAAGATGGAGGCAAGGCCCCCAGCGCTTTCGCGTGGTCGAAAGGACACGCCTCTCCTGGAGCCCTGCGATCTGGTGCCAGTCTCTTGTTGGGGGTTAGTAGGGGATAAGGGAATATATTATATGGGGACCATCTAGGGATTATACAGGAATTGCAAAGAGATGTGAGGAATATCTCATTTTTTCCCCTCCTGACCCCCCGTAAGTTTTCTCAGCTCCCCTAGGAGAACCCATGACATTTCTTCTGGGAGCCTCTTCCTTTCCTGACCCATGATGACCTGTTGGTTCTACTTCGAATATAATCTAGGAACTTTGCACAGAGCCAAGTCCGGCTACCTACTCAGCTAGTAAGTGAACTAAACACGCGATTCCCTCTGTAGAGAGGCATTTCTTGGAAAACATGTTGAAGAGTGATCCCGTCTACAGAGTCGAATGGCGAGAGACAAGGCTTCGGCTATCGTGAGACCATGGTCCTGCTGACCTGCTGTGCTGACACTGATGGTCACTGACTCTAAGACCATACAGTGGATGGACAAAGTCGTGAAATATTGCATGGACCTGCATGAGTCTGCAGTTTGGGCATTCTGGCATCATGGTATACCAAAAGCCATGCTGGGCTCTTGTGCTCATCAAGGGTATCAACGAAGCTAAAAGCTGGGTGGGCTGCTGCAGAGTCGGAGGACTTCGGGCTTACCGCGTCCTGCACAGGGCGCTAAAACTTTTGAGCAACGGGCTTGGATGACTGCTGCCCGCCAGGAACTGAAGTCCACTTTAAGGCGGCTAAACCTATCACCTAAACCCTCCCCCTAAAAGACCATACCGTCCTTTACAAAGGTGAGTTTGTGGGGTTCCAAGATAGTTTGGCCCTTTTTGGGGGCCCACATGAATTCAGGTCAGAGCTACAGCAGCAACAAAAGAGTCGAGGGATCGGACTGAGTTCTACAAGTGGTGGCTTGCTCCAAACAAGACCCTGTGTTCCTACAGAAACACTAGATAGGGACCCGTATGATACTGAATTGGGACACTCCCTCGACTTGAAATTGCACGAGTAAAATCTGGTTTTACGGAGCTCAAATTTTCTCAGGCCGCGGCAGACTGATGTCTGAGCTGCGCAACCTCACGGACGAATACTGTGGTTCTGTTGAATTTAAGTCAAGTTACTATAACAACGAAACGCTGTTCATCATTTGCTATACATCCATATTTTGGTAACTTTCTTTAAGTGTTCATTACAGCTAACCCAAAATCTGAGTGTTGCATGAAACATATGGCCATGAGGGCCCTTCGGGACTCTTATCAGGCCCACATATCCATCACATGAATGCCTAGATATGTACATATACACACATGTGATATATGTGTGTGCCCATGGAGAAGTGCCCCCATGGAGGCTACAAAGGGGTTAGGCTTCCGTGTTAAGTGTTTCCAAGCACTCCTGCGTCTTTCCTGCAAGTTTTGCTGACTTGTGCTGCTGGCCGAGGAAAATGTGTGAGTCTCACTGATTCGGACATCAACTTCGACTTTGTTGAGCAAGTTGACATACGCATGTCTACTTCTAAGTAGGGTTCGGCACGGAGGATGATCAGTACTGGGTCTTGCTTCGTCTGCATCTAGTTCTGTCACCACAAAACTAGTATGACTGCAGCCCTGAATCATGATACGTTGGCTTACTAGTAGCTGCGCGAAATTCATCAAAACTCCCGGCCTCTTGCTGCAGCTCCTGGAAATGTGTGGGAAAGTTGTGGAATAAAGGCGTGCAACCAGCATGCGCATGGAGGGGCATGTGCTTAAGTTTTGGCCACCTGTGATCCTAGAATTTCAGAAGCTACGGAAGCGATCAGTGCTTGGGCAGGTTCGCAGAGCCGAGATTAGGCACCCACATCAGCAGATTTCGTCCTGAAATGACACCGTCTGAAAATGACACAGAATCACTTGTAGGCCTGCCACTTGAGCCCACAAAATTCCCTGCGCGCAGCGTCCTGCACCGCAGCGAAAGATTTTTTCCTGCAGTCCAGTCACAGAAAAAAATACGCGCGGTCTCGAAACCAACAAAAGAAGCAGGAAAGAGGATGCTCAAGAGTACCAGCTGTAGAAGTACCGCTATGACGACGACTCCTGCTAGTACTACGGGTATATCGTTTTTCTTGCGCCG